AGCTAGATGGGATAATTTATTTAGTTCTATTCCCTCACCCCATTTTACAGATGAAGACACTGTGGTCCAGAGAGGGAAATGACTTGTTAATAGTCACACATGTAGTAAGTACTAGAGTTCAGAGTTGAACACTGGTCTTCTGACTCAGATTTTGGGGTTCTTTCCAATAAGATAAGGGCAGCTCAGTGGCATAGTGGATGGAGCACTGAGCCTATTTCTGGAAGACTCATCTTCATGAATTCAAATCTGGCCTCAAACACTTACTAGTTATGTAACCCTGGGCAAGTCACTTAACCTTCTATACCTCAGTTTCCTCATCTGTAAAATGAGCTGGAGAAGGAAATGGCAAATCACTCCATTATCTTTGCCAAGAAAACCCCAAATGGGATCATGAAGAGTCAGATATAACTTAAACTACTCAACAACAACCAATAAGACCGCCTACCTCCCATGTTTCTTCATGTGTAAAATAAGGTGGTTGGACTGATAACCTTTGATTATCTCTAAATCCCTTTCTTGCTCTGACATTCTGTGCTTGGTCACAGGATCACCAATCTAGAATGCCCTCATTTTACTGAGGAGGAAGCAGACCTAGAGAAGGTCTTGACTTGCCCAAGGCCACAGAGCTCAAAAATGACAGTCAGAATAAGAACTCAGGGTCTCTGACATCAAATCCAGCACTTTCCAATGCATCATCATGCTGCCTCCATATGAACCCTAACTCTTGCAAGCTAAAACATTAAGCTGTAGCCCTATAATACGTATTTTTATAAGGTAGGGCATGCTTACAGCTTGCCTGGACCATGCCTTTTCAAAATTAGACTTTTTTAATATTGAATTTTTCTTAGACTTTGATAAGGGGGAAAAAATGTCTCAAACCTCCAGCTTTACCCCCAGTAAAACCACTAATTTAGACTAATGATGGTAAATGATCTGGTCCCTTACATCCTTAAGAAGCCCTTCTTCGCTGGGAATTCACTAATTTTTAAACTAATTGAAGAAGAAGAAGACTCTTTCCCTATTGGCTACCTACCATGATTGTCAGACTTCCTGTCTATAAGCTTTTTCCTAAAACACCTGGGGAAAGATTATCCGTGTTACTGGACAACAAAACAGGCTTAATATTTTCTACAACTAGCCAGGGACAAGGAGACCTAACAAAATTGGCATACCAGATCATCCAGTTTCTACAGATACAGAGGGAAAAAAAAAAAAACCTAGCTATCTAGAGGGTAGGGAGGAGGGAGAGGAAAGGTTTAAGCTTCACAGTCTCCATGAAGATTAACATTGTCCCAGCATTTGGCAAGAAGGAATTATTTCTAGCTGTGTGGCCTTGGGTCATAACTTTTCCAAACCTTTTTTTTTTTTCTTAATCAGTACTGACTGTAAAATGAAAAAATTAGACTAGCTGGGCTCCAAGGTTCCTTCCATCACAGTTCTCTATGAATTCTCTAGGAAATGAAAGAGTCAAATTCATTCTCCCCAAAATGGGCACCAAATAGAATTTTTTTGTCCAGCCTTTTGGCTATTTGAGCTTGTCTGTATCCAGCACCAGTACAGGCTGTTAGTTCACAGGATCACAGATTTTGAGCTAGAAAGGACCTTAGAGAGTGTCTAGTTACTTTGTTTAGTCGTACTTCTTCATATACACCTCTGGGAATAAACGCAATTAGAGAAATTTCTGGCCAAGAATTTTTGCAGATATTTGGTTAGACAGAGCTATATTAGGTAGGTCTAACCTTCCCCCAGACCATTAAAGCTACTGAAAAAGTGAGAAAACCCAGTTCATGTTGCCTTGCTATCAGTAGTAGGCTTTGGTGGAATGTACATCCTACTTTTTATATTTGTAAAATACCTCTCAAGGGCTTAATTTCCTTATTTGTATGATTTGATTAGATGATCTCTGAAGTCCCTCACTATTCTTACTCTAGAATCCTATATTGCTAAGAATTTCAGAATCCCTGGCATGGTGGTGTATCCCTTGGGTCCATGCTACTGAGGAGGCTGAGGCTGGTAGATCTCTTGAGTTTGGGAGTTATGAGTTGCAGTAGCTGTAGTACAGGGCAAAGTCAATCAGATGTCCACATCAAATCAGCACCATTGGTGGTGGTTTGTCCATTTTTTTTTTTTTTTTTGCTGAGGCATTCAGGGTTAAGTGACTTGCCCAGGGTCACACAGCTAGTAAGTGTCAAGTGTCTGGTCTGAGGTCAGATTTGCACTCAGGTCCTCCTGAATCCAGGGCCAGTGCTCTATCCACTGTACCACTTAGCTGCCCCTTGTCCTTCATTTTTGAAGAGGATCAGTGACATCACAGGTGATGTCTCAACTCGTGGGTGAATTGGATTTAAGTGAGGCAGAGTTGCACTCTCATCAGCCTCACTGTCTCTTCCAAAGTCATCCAAGCCCAGTGGCAGGACAAAAGTCAATATGGTAAGCCTCTGGGAGAGGAGAGAAGGGGCAAACTGGCCCAGGTGAGAAACAGAGCAGGTCAAAGCTTTGTGCCCATTGACAGCGGGGTCAGGTTCAGGAGCTTGCACTTCCAGCCTGAGTGAGATAGGGAGACCTAGTCTCCAAAAAAAAGAAAGAAAAGAAAAAAAAAAGACAAACAAACCTATACCATAGTTAGAGCAAGGAAACCAGTCATCAGAGGGATGTATTTGTAAAATACATATAGTAAAGATAATTGATATCCGACCCACGTAACCATTTTCCAGCTTTTGTGGATATTCAGTTCTTAGTTCGTAGAGAGTAAAATACAGGGGTTTGATTTCATAGGTAAACAAAAAGTAAGTGACATTCAAGGTTCAAAAAATATAATTCCTCAGCATACAGTAGCTATTAAATTCCCTGGGTCAGGCTACTGAATCAGAGAACTTCTAGAGAACTTGCTTTAAGACCCTTCTTAGGCTGTAGAGACCCTGTTTCAAATTCCAGCTCTACCCCTCACTAGCTGTGGGAAGATACTTCATCTCTCCAGACCTCTGTTTCTTTATTCATAAAATGGATGAAGAAATTAGACTAGAAATTCTTTCATCTATTTAGAGGTAATCTCTTCCACCTCTAAAATTCTTTGATTCTATATTAGTCTCTCCATGCTTTTCTCGAGAAATTATATTTTACAAGTCCTTGCAAAACTTCTCATGCCCAGAGATCACACACCCTTGAAAATTGCTGCTGCTTTTTTGCAGAGTGGCCTCTTGAAAATCTGTGGCCGTAGCCAGGCTAATGGGCAGCTAAGGTGGCACACTGGATAGAGTTACCAGGCCTGAAGTTAGGAAGACAACTCTTCCTGAGTTCAAATCTATCCTCAGACACTTACTAGCTGTGTCATCCTGGGCAAGTCACTTAACCCTGTTTGCCTCAGTTTCTTCATCTGTAAAATGAGCTGGAAAAAGAAATGGCAAATCACTCCAGTAACTTTGTGAAGAAATCCCAAATGAGGTCACGAAGAGTTGGATATGAATGAAAAATAACTGAACAATAACAACAAACCAGGCTAATAGGATTAAGGGGCCTCTCAGGGCTCCTAGTCCCAATCTGGTTGATGGTTTATCACCTTCATCCACTTTGGCTGGCTCCCTGCTTCTCTTCTACTGGATCAGTCGATCTTGAATTCCGTTTCGATGTGGGAAATGGGAACTAGAGTCGCCCTTGACTCTGATAGCAGCAGCTGCCTAAAGGAACATCTTACTCGGTTCCCTTTGGCCTGCCCCGGCTCACTAGGTTGTTTTCCTCACTGGGAGTGACAGAATCAGTATTCCAGCTTTTCATTGGCCTCAGCAATACGTAGCTGCTATTCTGGCAATTAAGCTTAGTTTTTGAAATCACATTTTAACATTGGGACTACGTCCTCTCTTCCATTTGGTTATTTTATGAGTTTAACCGAAAGCTGGGTTCCGTGAATTTCACAACAGGGTGTCTGGTTAAAATCCAGCAATAGATGTTAATTCACCCAAGAGATCACATTTTAAAAGGGACCACTTGAAATTTTAAATTCTTGAAAGCTACCTTTTCCCATCTTAAAACATCTTTTGCTACCTTTAGACCTCATGCCCAGAATGTTCTCCTTCCTCATGTCTGCCTCCTGGCTTCCTTTTATCTGATCCTTCAGCCAGCCAGGACTCACTGAATGCCAAATAGGTACACAGTACTGTACTAGACACTGAGCAGGCCCTTTGTTTTAGTAAAATTATTACATTTACCAAATACTCCCTAACGAAAGGAAGGAAGGCTTCTTTGCCGGTGTGTGTGTGTGTATAACATATATACGTTTTTTATTCATCATGGGGTTGTTATATACATTTCTGGGTCCAGTATGGTATCAAAACAAATAATAAAGTTTTTTGGTTTTTTTTTGACTAGGCAATGGGGTTAAGTGACTTGCCCAGAGTCACACAACTAGTGTTATGTGTCTAAGGTCGGATTTGAACTGAGGTCCTCCTGACTCGAGGGCAGGTGTTCTATCCACTGCGCCACCTAGTTGCCCCCAAATAATAAAAGTTTCACTTCTAACTGCTACTTACCACCTATGTGACTCCAAATAGGTCATTTCTCTCTGGGTCTTAATCATCTGTAAAATGAAGGGGTTGGACTTTATAATACAGTAGAAAGACTACTGGATTTGGAGTCAGAGGATTCAAATCCTACCTCTAATGTTTATTATCTGTATGACCTTGAGTAAGTCACAGCCTCTTTGGACCTCAATTTCCTCATCTGTAAAATCAGCTAGCTGGACTAAATGACCTCTGAATCTATAATGCCATGACTCCAATAATGACAGAACCAAACCTATACCGTAACTAGGTCAAGGACACCAATCATTGAACCAGCTAGATGATGGTGCCCAAACAGAGTTGTCCTGTGCATATGGATCCCCACAAAAAAATGGGTATAACATAACCAAACCAAAATGTATCCAGATTTAGCCAAAGAAGAAGAAGGTGCCCCAGCCAAAAGACTTGACATGGCTAGTGTAGGAATAATAAAAACACAGACACATATGGATTCAAGTTTTTCATTTATACCCCTGTAAATCAAAGGGCCTTTTAACAGTTATTGACTGACAAATACCTAAACTCATGAAAATAACCTCTCCAGTTCTCTTCCTGTGTTAACTGGACCAGCTTATCTGAAAACAGGCTGCACACACTTAACTCAAATGATGACAATAACAGCAACAGAGAATGTGTAGGGCAGAGTTCTCTGAAGAGTTGACAAGGACTAATGGTTTATGTTTTAGCAACATTGCTGATGCTGGCCTTCAAGACTTTCAGAGTGGTGAGATGAAAGAATTTGGTTCACACCAAGCAGGAACAATCCCCTTGACTCCAGACGGGGGAGACCTATCCCTAGCTTGACTGCTTCTCTTCCCATTATGGAGAACAGGAAACCAAACAAAAAGTCAAGTCTTGCCTGATAGTGGTATAATTGCCCCAAGTATTCTCTGGGCATTATTGGTTTCTGTCGCTCCATGGAGAAAAATCTCACTGGCCAGTCATGGGAAAGGGTTTGGAAACAACTATGACTTGAGCTCGCGATCTGGTTTCATGCTAAAGGGCTCCAATCTCTCGTTCTCAGGAAGCAGGCTGTTCAGTCTCTCCATCAGAGGTACAGTTTGGTCAATGCCCATTTGTATTCGGCGTAGAATAGAGGATATTTCATTGACCTTCTGGATCTGTTCAGCATACTTTGAGTACCTTTTCTGTCGCTCTTGCATGAAGCCAAAGAGTGTCTCAACAGTAAGGTCCATCTAATGGAAGGGAAAAAGAACAAACTCATTAGGCATCCAAATCCTCTTAACAAGTCACTGAATGTAAGATGGGGAAACTCATCTGCTGCACAGTTGTAGGAAAAAAAAATCAACTATAAAGCAAGGAATGGGGGGGGGGAGATGGGAAAACATTCCATAATGAATCTCCTAGACAGCATCATTTAGTAAAAGGAGCACTGATCTGGAGTTAAAGGACCTGGATTTTAATTCAAGTTCTATGACTTGGACTTGCTACCTATACCTGTGGTCTGATTCTTTTATTACTCTAGACAAGATACAACTTTTTCTGGGCATTTACTTCCTCAACTAAAATGATAGGATTAGACCAGAAGATCTCTTAAGGTCACCTCTGAGAGACCAATTGGTCTCAGTAAGTAAGCTTTAGGAATAACAATATTAAAGATAGATAGTAACTCAAAGGATAGGCAATGGACCTTTTCCTATTCATATTTAAAAAAAAAAAGACCTGTTTTTTCCTAGTCACAGCTGGTCTATCAGCAATAAAGCAAAATGGATGGAACTGCCCCTCCATTCTGCTCACACACCCTTCTGGCTATGTGCTACCCACTATAAGAGAGAGATCTATAACTTCATTGGTAGAAGGAATTCCCAGATGAGAGAACGCCTAAGTGCCAGTAGGTACCTTCTCTGCAACTTAGAGACTTGGAGAGCTGCCTAGAAAGCTAAGAAGTGAAGTGTCAGCTAGAACCTATCCGAGGTGGTATCTGCCACAGTCAGCTTTCCACCTACTGTGCTAGAATTCCTTGTCTCCTTAAAGTCTGCCCTTGAAGTTAATTCTCAACAGTATAAAATGTACAGGAACCTCACAGAGTATGGATCTGCCTCATATCCACCTTGGGATGGCCCTGAGCCTTATTATATTATTATAATACTAGAAATAACACTTTTCTTTCCCTGGCACTTAAGAATATGCTTTGCAATGAGTAGGTGCTTAATAAATATATACTGAATTGAACCAAAAACACAGCAGTCCAATGCTATGAGAAATACAAAGATTATATAAAACAAAGGTCATGCCCTTATGGAGCATTGGAACAGCAGATTAATGACATGTAACCACATGATTGTAATACAAAATGTTACAGGATATTTGTACCCTTTGGAGGGGTGCAAAAAAAGTACTTTTTAAGGCCTAAGGAAGGTCTGCTGCTTTCCATGTGTGTGACCATGGACAGATCATTTAACCTTTTCGATTAGGCATTGACACACTAGAGCTGAGTTCACAGCCCATTTTTGGATAGTCCTTGGGCTAAGAATCATTTTTACATTTTTAAATAAAGTTTTATTGTATTTTAAATTTTACATTTTAAAATGTAAAAACCATTCTTAGCCCAAGGACTGTCCAAAACCAGGCAGCAGGCCAGATTTGGCTCTTGGGCTGTAGTTTGGTGATCCTTGGACAAGATGATTCCTAAGGTCCCTTCCTACGATCCTTACAAAAGAAGGAATGATCCCAGGTTAGGAAGCAGTGGAACTAGGACTGCATGTAATTCTTCTTAAAGTAAAAACTAGACCCAGTATACAAACAATTTTATCCAAGTACCCCTGACTTCGTCATGCTGCTTGACCACTCTCCACGTGCTCCATTCGATATGGTTTACATGGCATTCTGCAAACTGCTAGAGCTCAGTCCATTACTACTAAATGCCAACACTAACAATGCTTCTGATGAAGACACACCCATGAGAACAGAGCTGCCCCCAAGAAAAAATGCCAAGTTCTATTTCTGTATACTGAGGCAGGAAGAGGGGAAGAATAAAGATAGGCACATTTTTTACTACAATGTTTTTCCTACTCCACCCTCATTTATTGCCTTGGGAATAAAAGCTGGGGTAGGTGAGAAGAGGGAAAAATGAAACTCATAAATTCAAGCTAGATAAGAAGCTCTAATAAGGCAAAAAATGATGTATGCCTTTCAATAACAACACACTTCTGTAGTAAACTACAGTATTCATGACATAGGCTACCACCAAGTCTAGAAAGGATAAAAAGATATTCCACCAACAGTTACTAGACATTTGATCTAACGAGAGTTAGTAATACAAACAGAATACTAAGAAATCATATCTACATGTGCAATAAATGTTTTCAAATTCAAGGATATAGTGAAAGAAAGAGAATATGATTTAAGGTGATTCCAGCTGCCATTCTATTCAATTAATGAGCCTTAAGTGAATAGTGATGGGGTTGGGATCTGGGCCCCAGAAAGGAAAAACCCTGGACTTCACATGGCCAAATCTCTGGCGTTACCCTGAGGCTATAATCCCATCAACTGGCCTTTCATTGTGGACCTCCCTATGGCCCCAGGCCATTTCTCCATTCTCCCTTGGCCAGGTGGTCCAGGTCCCTGGAATTCTATTACCTCATAGACCATATGGCCACTCCTAGATCCCTCCCATAGTCTTTCTGTATATAAGGTCCATCTTGTCTCCATTAAGATGCCGAGATTCTTAAAATCTAGCCACTGCTTAGATTCTTACAATCTAGCCACTGTTTACTCATGTTTAGACTCCTTAAGAGTCTGCCCAATATGATGGATGTTCTAATAAACCTTGTCTTTGGCTGAAAGAAGGCTTGGGTCGAATTCTTTCGGGCAGAACCTGTGTGTTGTGATTTTGGGGTCCCAGGATCCCTGAACCCCTAAACCACAACAAATAGGAGATGCATAAATTAGAGCTACTTGCTGCAGTAATTTAAATTCAAGGAGTTTAAAAAAAAAGAATCTCCTCCTTGTGGTCAGCTCCTCCTGCCCATTTCAACTTCTTCATCTGGTACCAAATATTTTTCCAAATGATTGATTAGGTGGTTAATCCAAATGACCAGATGGGGGGTGGGGGGAGGCTCTGGGAGGGAGAAAGAAAACCTATGAACAAGACTTCTCTGTCCAAAGGAGATTTATTAAAAGATAATCTTTACAGCTGGGTGGAATGGATGTGGGATGTTGAGAACCTCCAAATCTGCACTGAGAATGGGGCAGTGATATAGATAGTGGGGTCAAATTCAAATAGAAATGAATCCCTGCTGGCTGTTGCCCTATATTACTTATTTTGTTAAAAATTTCCCATTTCCATTTTAATCAGGTTTGGGCTGCATTTAGGAGTTCTGGGGCCACAAGTCTTTCACCTTTGGTGTAGCAGATTAGGGAAGTGTCGCAGCTCCAAAAGTGGCTTCCCAGTTTTCCTGCCTCACCGCCGATGTGTGTTAAACATGCTGCTTCAATTTGGAAGTTACAGGATAGTGATTATTGGGGAGCAAAGTGTTGTCTAGTACCTCTGACTCAAGATATCTGCATTGACATCTCTGAGTCTAGCAACTGGCTAAGGGGTAGGAGAGCATGGAATTAGAATGCTTCCCAATCTACTCAAGATTAGATAACAAAAGGAGAGAATATGCAGGGTCTTATCTATGCTGTCAGGTGCTATAGGTCAGTCCACCCAGACGGGATATTTTATCTATGTCTACAAAAGAGGGAGAGACCTTAACTTCTTAGCTAAAAATTAGCAAAATTAAAAAAGCAAGGGACACAACATTTACAGGATCCGTACCAATTATCTGCTAAGTGCTGCCACAGGTCTGGAGTTGTTGACTATGGTAAGGAATCAAAGGCCCAAAAGAGGTGCTTATATTTACCTAGCTCTGCACCCTGGGGATTACTGTAGTGAAATGCTAACTTGAATTCCACAGCTGAGAGAGAATTAATTTCCAATAAAAGATCTTAACAAGACTTTATTGTCATTAAGACAAGGTAGCAGTAGACATTTCTATTATATATATTCTATAGCAAGCAATGTTGATTCCTTTCTACCCCTCAGTGACAGAGGATTGCATTTGCCATTAGAAGATTCAAGGGATAAAAACTATATCATTATACACATAATAAGCAGGAGATAATTACAGATACCAGACATCATGGAAAACATTAAAGCATAAAAAGTTAACCTTGACACAATGGAAAACACAAATTTGCCATTCTCTAAGTTCCCAAGTGCTTCTCATGGTGTGAGATGTGACCAAACTAAATGTGATTCTGGAATTTCCTTATCCCTAAAGGTAGTCCACTCCTGCTTAGGCTGGCAGAGTTAATGAGAGGGTTGGTCTTCCCACAAATTCTGGTCACCTAGAAGGTCAGTCAAAGCAAGGCAAACAAGTATTTATTAAGTGACTACTATGTGCCAGGCACTGTACTAAGCACTAGGGATACAAAGAAAGGCAAAACCAGTCCCTACCCTCAAGGAATTTAGTCTAATGGGGAGAGAGAACATGCAAACAACTGTGTCCAAGCAAGATATATTCAGTATAAACTAGAGATAATCACAGAAAGCTATAGCATTAAAAGTATCAGGAAAGACTCCATGCAGAAGGGGGGATTTTAATTGAGACTTGAAGGAAGTCAGGAGTCAGAAATGAGGAGGGAGAGAATTCCAAGCATGAGGAACAGCCAACAAAAAGGCTAATGGAGTGTCCTGTTCAAGGAACAGCGAGGAAGTGGGTGTCACTGAACTGTATATAGAGCAGAGTAAAATATAAGAAGATTGGAAAAGTTAGCAAGAAAACAGGTTATGAAGAGTTTCAAAACTCTTTCAAAACAAAGGATTTTATATTTGATCCTTCAGGTAATGAAGAGTCATTGGGTTAGGGCTGACTGAACAGGGAGTGACAGGGTCGGACTGTTTTTTAGGAAGATCACTTTGACAGCTGAGTGGAGGATGGACTGGAGTGGGGAGAGACCTGAGGCACAGAGCCCAACCAGAAGGCAAATTCGATAGTCCAGGTAAGAGGTGACAAGGGCCGACACCAGTGGGGTGGCTGTGGTGTTCCCTTTTAGTTCTTCATGTACCCTCTTGCCTCACCAGTGAAACAGGAAGAAGAAACAGTTATATTTGATTGACTAGTTTCTTGATCCACAGAATCACAGAATTTGAAAGTTGGAAGGGACCTCAGCAACGATCAAGTCTGAC